CATATCGAAAAATAGCGAAATACTTACGTTAACGTTAACTTTTGAAGGTTTTCACTAGAAAAAATTTCCTGATGTAGCGTCCTACTATCGCAGGTTCATTAAAGGGTTCGTGACAATTGCGAAACCACTACATAACCTAACAAAGAAAGATGTACCTTTTAAATAGGCAGGTGAACATCAACTCGCTTTCAGTACACTGAAGAAACACCTAATAACTACATCAATAATGGTTTATCCTGACTTTTCCAAACAATTTACGCTCGCTACTGATACATCCAACTGGGGTATTGGAGCTGTGCTCTCCCAAGAAAATGATGACAAACGAGAACACCCAATCACTTATGCCAGTCGCCTTTTATCCTTCACCAAACAGAATTATACCATTGTAGAAAAAGAATGTCTCGTTGTGATTTGGTCCGTATGACACTTTAAACATTACTTGCATGGCCCCAAGTTCAACTTGTACACCAATGTTATGGGGTGAAAATTGACACATATTATTTGAATATATTATTATTATTTAATATTAAAATTTATTATATTATTATTTAGTAAATATATTATTAATTATTGAATATATTATTAGTAAACATGTGATTTAGGTACAGTAAAGATTAACATGGCACAGTAAAAGAAAATCATTTCTTTTAAAGATTACAAAATTAGAAATTCAAATGATTAACAGAAATGTAGTACAATAATTTTAATCAAGCTGAACTCTTGTTTTAAAACAAAATAATTTATTTTAAAATGTACACACTGCTTTAACTTAATTTAAATAAAAGTTATACTATATAATTCCAGTGATCAAAATGTAATAAACCCTAATTCATAAAAATCAGATATCTTGAATTTAATTTTCTTCTACGAATAACTATTATTATTAAATGCGATCAATCATTAATGTAAATATTTAAACTAGAATAGTCTTTTTGAGAGAATCCTTGTTTATCGATCGATAAACTTCTATTTTGACTGCTGAAAATTATAGAAATTAATTTATTGCCTTTGTAATTCAATTCTCTTTAAGAACATTACACATTCTGTTTTAAATTCAATTAAATATAGTTTGCGTACTTCAAAAATGGTAGATAGGAAAACCCTATTTTTAATATTATAATTCTTAAAAAACCATTCATTGTATTATTTCCATTTTATATATTATCCGATTAACATTGTTTTCTTTGATGCAATAAGTCCGTTTCACTACGAGAAGTTCATTCGCACGAAAATAAAATTTATTTTATTATTAATAATCATTTCCTTTATCATATTTATAATTATTTTATTCGAAATGATATCATCAAAGGAACAAAGTTACATCTCTACTTTTAGGCAATGACTTTCCTAAAAAAATTCCAACGCAAAAAAAATATAATTATTAATTTTTCATTTATTATTTTATTTTTCGAAACTCATCTAAAACATTTTTTCCCCAAAAAGGTTACAATTTTTCCTTAAAAATGAGACTCCATTAAAAAATATCAAGACCATAAATTGTGATTATAGTAATATTTATAGTATATCTGATTTATCCCACGAGACTAACGGTCATGATAAAAAAGCATCACATTGATAAATTATTTTGAGTTTAAATAATATAATATTATATTTTCTTTTTATTTTAGTATGAAAATTAGAGACTATATCGAAGATATAATAACAAATATAATAATAGTTAAATTCCAAAACGAACCAAAACAAAAGTTTCTATGATATTGAAGGTGTGTAAAATTTATGCTAAAAGTAAGTGAAGGTGAGCTGCGATTTGCGAGAGGATTTATTTATTAGTGTTCTTTTAATTACTCATTGATAAAGATTGGTGTAGAAAGTGGATCAAGAAAATTAATATTTAGTAGTGGTATTATTTATTGAATATCGTAGATGGGATTAATTTTAATGATGATAATAATTAACTCAGATAATCAGAATAATCATATCAACCAGCACAACGAGAAACATGATATATCATTAAGAATAGTATCAAGAATATTATCTCGATCTTTAACCTTAAAGGTCAATAATAATACATCTACAATTCGAATTAATTAAATTAATTGATCAAAGTTGAATTGTTAAAATATAAAGATAATTTTTTTTTTGATTTTTATGAGAAAAGAATATATTTGTCAACGTAGTGGAGTCTGTAGAACTCCATTTTTCCTGTATTATCATTTATAAGTTTTTTTTTTAAGGAAAATAATTGTAATAAAGTAACTTTGCTCACTTGAGTTACTCTTTTTTTTTTATTTAAACACATCACTTAGCATATTCAGCATATAAAATTATTATATAATGTACTGCCTGTACGAGTGTAAAAGAGGAATTGATTTGTTAGATTTCAATAAAACAAAATAAACAAAATAAAATACTTTTCTTTTTTGTCATCTACTAAACATTTTTTGAATAAGTGGTAGAAATAACATAATTATCTAATTTTCACTTGATATAGGTCATGATGAGACCATACTCGAAGGTCCCCAATTTTAATTTCAGGGTCAATTTCGGGTATTTCAAAAACTGAAATAATTTTGGGGAATGAATAGTCGCACCATTTTTATTTTCTAACGTTCCTGGTCCTCTAGAGAATTTGACAATTATTATTACTTGACACTTTCCTTTTTTTTTTATCACTTTGAAAATAAAATTATTAGTTTGACACTTACCATGTACTACCCAACACACCATAGTACGGTACATACGGAATAACCTGTTCAAAATATATGTTCATTCGCAATGATAGCAGTCAGATTCATGATTCTAAATGGATTGAATTATTCATAAAAAATAAGAAATAGAAAATTTAGTAACATAAGAAACAATGAATGTATATATAATATTTTTTTTGAACCATATCATGCGATTCTTGATAAAAAAAAGGGTTTCGAACAATAATTGGAATATTGCTTCCATTAAGCAGCTTCATCAAATTTCCAATGTGTCTCATTTTTTTCTAAAGAAAATCAAGCAAAATAATTTCATTTTTATCCAAAGATTTTTCGGAGATTCCTTTCAGAAGATGTATTTATAAAATCAGAGATAATACTCTTAACTTACTTGCAGTCACGCGACAATTGTTCCTTCCCATAAAAGACGAAAAGATGATCTCTTATTAAAATAGAGTAACGATCAGAATATTCATTTCATTATTCTAAACATCAAAAAAAATTAATTGAAAGCATGCTGCAGATAGTAAAGATCAGAAACTGATGCTCCAAGATCAGATCCTTTGAGGAGTGTCCACCACTACTAGAGTCAGAAACTACATTCAGGTAACACCTGTCAAAAGCTCCCTTCCGAACTGGGTTGAAACAAAATTACCTTTTCTTCTATAGTACAATTTAAACTTTAAATTTTAAAATAAATAAAATAATTATTTACATATCTACAATATTTCATAATTTCAGACTAGAAAAAAAATAAAATAAAAATAATTTCCATTAAAATAAAATAAGAACAAATAAAAATTTATATTTACCTTCAAAGGACTTTTATCGGTCATTTTAACATAAATTACAGGTGTCCAAATTATTTATGTAATTTATCGGCAGCACCAAGCATCAGGATATTATTAGATAAATATTTCTCAGAAGAGTATCTTTTAATTTCAATATATAATAAATAATAAATAAATAAATAATAAATAATAATTATTTAAAAATAAATAATGATTATTCAAAAAAAATAAAAATTACCCAAATCTTGGCCAGTAGTCAATAACACATCACCAATAGTTTTAATCATATTAATAATAAATAATAAATTATAAAAGTGAATTCGATAACTTAACAAGTACAACTCGTTCATCAACTAACAGCATTCCTCATTCTCCAAAGGAAATCCAGTACGACTTTTTTTTTTGAAAATTCAAAACAAGTGGAAAAGACTAAATTTTATTTATTTTTTTTTTGGCTTCTAAATCCAAATTGTCATTCCAAATGAGAGAAAAGTATTATAGATCTGCTGCACGAAGTCGAATAGCTGCATAAATTTATCTCAGCGTCTGTTATGCATCACGTACTTGAAAGGTTTCAACGTGTTCTGAGTTAGAGTTTTCCTTCTGTAAAATTATACCAGATATACTGTAATTATCCTAATTATCCTAATTTTTTCAATTAAATTATGACGTAATATAATACCTTTAACGAATTCAATAGATCAAAGTGTTAAAGAATTGGAAAAAATTCGTTTGGCGAAGCGAAGGTTTAGATATGAAAATTCGATAAGGCGATTTTGTTATCTCGGAATTTGCTATAATATATATCCGAATAGTGAATAATAATCTACATTATCTATATTCCTGTGATAAATCTCATGATTTCGGACTAGAAAAAATAAAATAAAATTTCCATTAAAAAATAAATAACAAATAACAAACAAATAAAAATTTACACATACCTTCAAAGGATCAATTCTATTTAATCCTTACGATCAAACATAAACTACAGGTTTTATCTTTGTTCCTAATAATTTTATGTAATTTATACAATCAAGATATTAGATAAATATTTCTCAGAAGAGTACCTTTTAATTTTAATATAATAAAAAATAAATAAATAATAATTATTAAAAAAATAATAATAAATTACCCAAATCTTGACAGTAGTCAATAGCATCGTAATCCTTGTCCAGCATAAATTGTATGTATCACTAACAATAATAATTAATAATATTAATAATAAATAATAATTAATAATTAATAAATTAAATAAAAGTGAATTCGTTAACTTACTCGAAAAGTACAACTCGTTCATCAACATAACTTCCAGCATTCCTCATTCTCCAAACGAAATCCAGCATGACTTTGTTTTTGAACATTCAAAACAAGTTCTAAATTCGAAATCGGCGTTCCAAAATGAGAGAAAAGTATTCTTGATCGGCCACACGAAGTTCGAAACGCGAGCATAAATTTATCCTAGCGTCTGTAATGCCATCCCAAACCTGTATATCATTTGAAAGATTTAACGCATTCCAGGTTAAAGCTCCCATCAGTAAAAATTATTCTAATTGAATTTTTATAAGTAAACAAATGTATGCAATATAATACTTTTAAAGAATTCAATAGATCGAGGGTGTTAAAGGACTAACACGATTGGAAAATTCACTTGGTGAAGGTTTAGATATGAAATGTCAAAATTCGATAAGGCCACCGAATAGTAAAAAATTCGTGAATAATGATATATAATTGTTAGGTTTGCTGATTGGTTAACAGCAAAAAAGCGATTGATATTGTCACGTCTGGACAGCACACAACAGAATTACACAGCAAATCAAGTTCCCAGTCACAATAATAGTTTACACTT